TGGTTCATGGGTAGAGAGGGTAAATTGTTGCCGGAATGACAGGGTGTTTTTTTCCCCTGCTAATGGCCATAGTTTGTTTCAAGGTTATTTCAGTAGAAGAATTAGCATGTGATCTGGTCTGGATCATGGATCTCCTATATTAGCTGCTAATACTAGTGAGATGTAGGATATGGACATAAACTTCTGATACCAGTTAAACAATCATCATCAATCTATTAAAGATCCTTGTTTGTGGAGAAATCCTGGTATGGCTGAAAAGCAATGGATTAGCAGTTGGACTTAATGGATTGAACTGTAGTCTCTGATACATAGTAGTAACCAGCTGGTTTTAGGACAGTTACTCGACCTCTCAGGAACCTTTATTATTTTTAAAAATTTGCTTTCTCTGTTACTTAAATGTTTTTAAGATAAGCAAATTAATGTAAAATAAAGTTCTTCATGAATTCTACAGAGCTTCATAAATCTACAGTGATACTAATACTGATGTGGAAATGATATTTTATTTTTCAGATGCAGAACTTTTTTTTTAATTAATTTTTTTAAAAAATTGTGATTTGTGTGAAAGTTTTCAGAGCAAATTCACGTTCTGTACAGCAGTTCACAAATACTTTGTCTCATGACATTGACTACAATTTACCACAGTGCAACAGCTCCCTTCCCACTTCATCCCAACAGTTACTTCTTCCCTGTGTCTGTCCCTCCATTTACTCCTGCCCCCTGAGCTGTTTCCCTGTGCGTAAACAGCCCTTCTATCTCCCATGATTGTTCTCTCCAAGGAGTGTATCTACCTCGGGTAAATGTTCAACTCATATACCTGTCTTTTGTTTGGCTGGAAGCCACAGGTATGGGTTCAATTCCAGACCTGAAGGGCAGCTAGGGGCCATAGTCTCAGTTCTCCCTCTCTATCCAGGATCTTCTACATAGATCCCTCTCTGAGTGGTTGATAGTGGTAGCAGGGCACCATCTAGTTCTTCTGGTCTCATAGTTGTATAAGCTGCGGATAGCATGGTGTACCAGTCGCTAGGACTAACCGTTTCCATGAATCTTTGGTTTTCTTTGTTCTTCTTAGCTCTGGATGAGGAGAGACCCATTGTTGCATCTAGATGGCTGCTTGCAGGCTTTTAAGATCCCAGTTGCTACTTGCCAAAGTAGGAGGTGGAACAATGTTTTGTGTAGTACGTTATGCCATTTGAGCTTGATGTCACCTGTGATTATGGTTCCAAGACCACAGGTTCAACTGCTCACTCCCTCTGGATAGCTGGCTGTGACCAAGAAGTAACTATAACTTTGTCCCTTGTCAGCTCTACTATACACCTGGGAATTCTTACAGAACATACAAATACGCTTGTAGAACCATTGTTGGCCAACCCTATACATGGTCTTGGGTACACTCCCTGCTGCATAGGCATACCTAATAGTTCAGCCTGTCCACCGTCTGTCTGCCCGTATACCCATGTTTGCCCTCACTGACAACGTACTGTATGTGCAAAAGGTTCATTTTTGTTGTCTCAATCTCCCATGTACCCTCTATATTTTCCTCTTCTTCAGTGCCACCATGTTGATCACTCACATTTGGAACATTGACCTTCTCTTCACCGAAATCAATACTTATCTCTACCTATCTAACAGTGTTCCCTTACCTTCCCTCCCACCCCTGGTAACCAACAAAGAAAATTTCCTTCCATAGATAAACCATTCCTTGACTTTTACAGTAATGGACTAATACAACATTTGTCCTTGTATGATTGACTGACTTCATTCAGCATAATGTCCTCCGAGTTCATCCACGTTATGTGGTGGTTTGCTTATTCTACGTTATTCTTCAGGGTTGCATAGTATTCCATTGTGTGTATGTACCGTAGTTTGGTTATCCATTCCTCAGTTGATAGACACATGGGTTGTTTCCATTTTTTGGCTATTGTAAGTAGTGCCGCAATGAACATGGGTGTGCATATGTCTGTTCTTGTCATGGCTCTCACTTCTTTAGGATATATACCTAGTAGTGGAGTGGCTGGGTTAAATGGTATTTCTAATTCCACCTTTTTAAGGAATCACCATTCTGCTTTCCACAGTGGTTGTCAGATGCAGAACTTTTTAACATGATGCCTGGAATGTCTTTTGAAACAATCTCTCTAAATAAATAGAGGGTTTGTTTTTTTTTTTTTAATTGTGATTTGGGTGACAATTTACAGAGCAAATTCACTTTCCATACAGCAGTTCACATATGCCTGTCTTTTGTTTGGATGGAAGCCACAGGTGTGGGTTCAGTTCCAGACCTGAATGGCAGCTAGGGGCCATAGTCTTAGTGGTTCCACCAGGCTCTGTCAGACCAGCAAACCTGGTCCTCCTCCTTTTCCCCCCGCCCCCCAAATGATTTTGAGTTTTGTTCCACATTGTTCTCCCTCTCTGTCCAGGATCTCCTACATAGATCCCCCTCCAAGTGGTTGACAGTGATAGCTGGTCACCATGTAGTTCTTCTGCAAAGTTTTAGGTGTTGGTGTGTGGGAGATAATATGTGCTTTACTTTGTAAAAGTAAGAGATGTGTATAGTGGAAAATAGGTAAAATAGCCAGTGATCCTTGTTTTAATAAATACTTGTGGGATTTGATTTTGGATATCCTTGTCCTCACTTTCCCTTTTTTTTTCTTTGAAATTTAATTGTTGCTGTATGTCTTAACCTTTTCTAACCTTTTGTATATATTCAGTTAGCTGTAGTTCTAAAAGGGTTAGGTATAGCCTGTATGTGACTTTAACCCTGATTCATTCTGGGTACATAAAAGAGTAATTCAGATAGATGTAGGTTATTTCTGCTTAGGAGTTAGTTGGAAGGTCAGAATTCATTCAGTGAGTCCTTTTTTTGATCTTTTACACTTTTGCCACAGTTTGTGCCCTATATAGACTTTTATTTATTTTATTTTGCTGCCTGAATTTGGATATAGAATACTTAAAGTGTGGATGATTGTTCAACCTACTGCTCTTTCTCTTTCCTGGTTGTTCTTCTTTGGGCCCCACATGATAAGCCTTTTCACTTTAAAAGGTCAACTCCCTTCATTTCAAGAGCCTAGTAGCTTCTTTGAGAGTATTTTGTGGTAAGTGCAGTAGTGCCGCAATGTCTGTTGGTTTGCGGAAGGAGGCAGTATTAACTGATACCTTATATCTCTTTTCTTAACTTATCATTGGTGAAGTTTTTGGGCTTCAGAGTTGCATGTCTTTCAGATATCTTGTCTTTGGCTATTACCTCATCACTTTATATACTTTGTATACTACTGGTGGTTTAGTCTAACACTACTTAGGGAATATTTTCAACAAAAAGGGAATGCTTCAGGATTGTATCCTTTCCCCATATTTACTCAGTCTATATGCTGGGCAAATAATCTGAGAAGCTGGACTTTATGAAGAAGAACATAGCATCAAGATTGAAAGAAGAATCATTAACAACCTTTGATAAGCTGACAACACAACTTTGCTTGCTGAAAATGAGGATGACTTGAAGCACTTACTGATGAAGATCGAAGAATACAGTCTGCAATATGGATTACATCTCAGTATAAAGAAAACAAAAATTCTTACAACTGGACCTATAAGGAGCATCACAATAAATGGAGAAAAGATTGAAGTTGTCAGGGACTACACATTGCTTGGTTCTACAATCAGTGCCAATAGAAGCAGCAATTAGGACGTCAGAGGACCTATAGCACTGGGCAAATCGGCTGCAGAGGACCTCTTTCAAGTGCTGAGGAGCAAAGTTGTCTTCTTGACCCAAGCCATGATATTTTTAATTTTCAGTCACCTCATATGCATATGAGAGCTGGACAATGGATAAGGAAGACCGAAGAAGAATTGATGCTTTTGAGTTGTGCAAGTACCATGGACTGCTAAAAGAACTAACAAATCTGCCCTGGAGGAAGTGCAGCTGGAATACTCCTTGGCAGCGAGAATGGCCAGACTTTGTCTTACCTACTTTGGTCATGTTATCAGAAGGGACCATTCCCTGAAGAAGGATGTCATGTAAGATGGAAGGTCGACGAAAGAGGGGAAGGCCCTCAATGAGATGGGTTAACAAAGGGGCTTTGGCGAGGGGCTCAAGTATAGCAAGGATCATGGAGCTGGCGCGGGACTGGGTGGTGTTTTTTCTGCTGTGCATTGGGTCACTATGAGTTGGAGATGACTCGATGGCACCTAAGAACAACAGTGTTTATTAAATGACTCATTTTATTACAGTCCTCTACTGTCTTGAGTGAGAAACTAATCTCTTGCAATAAATAGAGAAATGTGTACTCAAAAAAAAAAAAAAGCCCCAAACTTAGTGCCTTCAAATCGGTTTTGACTCAGCGAACCCAATTGGGTTTTCCAGGCTGTAAATCTTTATGGAAGCAGACTGTCTCATCTTCTTTCACAAAGCGACTGGTGGGTTCAAACCACTGATCTTTTGCTTAGCAGCCAAATTCCTTAACTATTGCACCAGTAGAGCTCCTGTGTAAGAATTGCTTTTTTTTAAAAAATATTTGTTCCTTAGGATATATTCTGTGGCACAGCCTAAGAGTCACTAGGAATTATAACTATTGTTGTTAGTTGCCATTAATTCCAATTCAGGGCAACTTTACTAGTGATGAAAATTTGAAATAAATTACTCAGAGCCCTAGTATTTTGTTGTCATAGAAGAGTTAAAGAAAACGGCATTTCTAAAAGTCCTGGTGGTATGGTGGTTAAGTATTTGGCTGTTAGACAGAAGTTTGGCAGTTCAAATCCACCAGCTGCTCTGCAGGAGAAATAGGTGGCAGGCTGCTTTGGTAAAGATTTACAGCCTTGGAAGACCTATGGGGCGGTTCTATTTTGTTCTATCGGATTGCTGAGTCAGAATTGATTCAATAGCTGTGGGTTTGGGTTTGTGTTCCTAATATTTACTAATTAGGCGAACTTGCTTTCTTATTACTATTCATCAAACTGTGCAGTTTAAAATTCAGATTGCATTGATCTGGAAACAATTTTGTTTCTTTTAGGTACAAAGAAGATGGTGAAGCTTTATTAATTTTACTTCCCTCAGAAGAAAAAGGAATGGTGCAGCAGCTTCTGCAGAAGAAAGTGCCTGTGAAGGAAATTAAGTAAGAACTCTTTATGAGGAAAATGAGGACATGGAATTACTATGTTTAATTATGTGTATTTAATGCTTTCTTCCCCTTAAATCTATTGTCTATTTTTTGACTATTATGTTAAACAACTTTTTTAGAAGACTGTTAGTGGAGAAAATAAGAGATGAAAACTGTAAAATTGTAAAATTTCAGGAACCATTGATAATTGGAAGGATAAAACATTTTGGACAAAATTTCTTTTAGGATTGCGTGTCCATTTCCAAGGATTATGGTCCCTGTTAGGATGTATAAATTGAACATCAATGCAGTTACTTAGAATCTCACTTATATTGGGGCCTTTAAATACATTGGCTTGATTTGCTTCAGAGTATTGTAGAGGGAGTTGTGGTGAGATTGGAAGAGGAGTGGGTAAGGGTGGTAGATGAAATGGGATTGGCCATGTGTTGATAATTATTGAAGCAGAGTGAATATTTTCTACTTTTGTGTATTTTGAAATTTCATGTAATAAAATTACCCACCCCCATCACTGTGACATTTTAGGAACAAGGTATTTTAGTCTGAAATCAGGGTAACAAGGGTGATTGCTTTTGTGAAACATAGTAGCTTGTAAGGATTTCATTCTTTCCTCTAGTTTCCCTGGGAGGCATTAAATTAAGGTAACATCTCTGTTACATTATGGCTATTTTCTAGACAAAGCACTATTTATATCCTTTAGCCTCTTATTTATTATTTGAAACTGATTTTGTGAAATTTGACTGGACATGGTAATAGTTACAAAATGACATTACTTTTCATTTATTTGGTTTCATTGAGTACATCATTCTGAGGAAGCTATTTTTCGTCTTTATAGCCTTGACAAGCAAGCAAGGCACTGCCCTCGAGTCGGACCCGACTCATAGCGACCCCTCCTTTGGTTTCTGAGGCGGTATCACATGGAAGCAGATTGCCTAACCTTCCTTCTGAGGAGTGGCTGGTGGGTTTGAACCGCCATCCTTCTGGTTAGCAGTCAAAAGCCTTAGGCACTAGGCCACCAGAGCTCCCTTTATAGCCTTAGGAAGTACAAAAAGGCATGGGGGTGGCATCCTCTGGCATCCTCTAACTTCAGGAGGGGGAGAGAGAGAGGAATCAATATCAGCAGCTCAAAGCTGATTCACATGAGGTGAAATTCAGACATGCTGCCACCCTCCCACCTTTTAACCTTTTAACACTAACTGTCCTTCCCACAGCACTCAGTAGTTCTCTGCTGGGTTCAGTAATTCGTTGCCATGGTCTTACAGAACTCCCAGACAAAACTCATGATTATGGGGTTTATTAGGGAAGCAACAGGTTACAGTTCAATTTCCAGAATGCTCAGGGTACATTTCTTTGGTCAGGATAGCTTCCTTCCCACCATGCCCTTGGTCCTCTTTGGCCTTTGGCCTGGCCTTCCCCCTGCTTGGATAGGTTACATAGCTCTTTTAGTTCTGCCAGTAGATGCACCTAGGTAAGTTCCACTCTGCCAGCAAACCTTTTGCCCAAAGGTGTTAAACTTTCTACTCTGTGGGCTAGCAAGTCTTGTGTTGGTCTCTTGGTTCTATTGCTACTACTGCTGCCATCTCTCTGCCATCCCTTTGCCATCGTCTCAGCGCAGGCATCTTGGGTCCAAGGACATGCTCCGCTCTTGGCTCTTCTCTGTCTCGATGGTAGTGAGATCCCCCATTTTTGCCACTGGATGGCTCATCTTAAGTCTAGCAAAATGGCAAAACTGACCAATCCTCACTATAGGGTTCTATATACCTTATTTGCACAATCCCACCCTTATAAGGATGCCATATACCTTATTTACATTACTAATAAGCTATCCAGTCCCCTTGGTAGACCACAGACACCTTCCATTTGCATAGTTCCACCCAGTAATATGGTGGGAGTTGCAAAGACTATAGCTAGCAGAGCAATACCAAGTCACAGGAAATGACTAATGCTAATTGCAGTGTTTAGCTCAAGTATCTTTCACTCAGTATAGTGTGTTTCTTCATGTTTCTCCATCCATTTCTTTTGAACTGTTTTGTTCATAAGATGCAAGAGAGTCAAATTTATGTCCAGAGTATTTTCAGTATAATCTGGTTCATAAATGAAAAATAATGCTGTACATTTAAAAATAATACTGTGGAAAATAGAAATGCTGTGTACTATCTGCAGTTCTAAAATTGGAATGTTTTAGTTTAACCTTTATCTTCTTTTTCTTACAAAGAATTAATCCAGAAAAACTTATAGACGTCCAGAAAAAATTGGAATCATTTTTAGCCCAAGATCAAGATTTAAAAGAAAGAGCACAAAGAGTAAGTTCTTTTTGAATTGGATACCTTCCTTGCGGTGGAGCACATAATAAAGTTAAAGTCCATCTTTTCTGCTGTTTCTAAGTTTCTGGTTATGCTTCAGATAATCAAATAGTATAAAGTTCTGACAGACACGTTTAGCTTGTTGTTGTTATGCGCTGTGGAGTCAGACCCAACTCACAGCGGACCCCTCCTTGGGTTTCTGAGGCAGTAGCGCTACTGAAGTAGATTGCCCAACCTTCCTTCCGAGGAGTTATCAGTCAAGTGCCTTAGGCACTATGCTACCAGAGCTCCCATGTTAGCTTATTCTTCAAATTTCCTAAAAATACATATTTGCTAGAGTAAACTGGGAGAATCTGTATTCTTATCTGTAATCTTGTCAGAGACAGAAAATTGTATTAAAGGTGATTTTTAGATGTACAGTGGTCTGGCTTTTTAACTTCAGTGAAGTTACCAACTTTTTATCTCTTCATTGACATTCATGCAATTCTGAGTGTAGTTTCTTGACCATAGGGTTAATATTTTTCTGTCTTAGGTTAAATTTCTAGAAAGCATAGAAGTTTTTCTCATTGTTAGTAATGAGGTTTCTATCTTTAAATATGACTTATTGTCTCAGATTTCTTTCTTGGACTTAGAAGTTCTCTCAGTAAGCAAATGTGAAGACGTGTTAAAAAGTTAAATTTACTTTTTTAGTTCTTAGGCTGTTCAGAAGTCAGTTCTTTGGAAAAAGATTATTTAAAATTATTTTGCATTGTGTTTACAGCTGTCTAGTCTTTGAATCAATTAATATTTGAGTCCCTATTTGAAGCTCTTCACTTTTATCACTCATGTATTGCCTTATATTGTTATGAAATCTTTGCATCTCCTGTAACACATCATTAATAAGGTACAGAATAGGAATTTAGAGGTTGGATTCTATTTCATCAGGTAAATGAAAGGGGAGGAAGAAAATAAAGAGGCAAGATGAAAAGGGCATCCTAAGTAGATGGAACAGCCTGAGCAGAGAAACAGTCAACAGTCAGGGTTTTATGTTACAGTTTTGAAACTGGTATTCTCAGCAGAGAAGTGAGATTTTATAATTTTTGCTAACTAATTATATATTTTACCAGATTATCATCGCTAGAAATAACATTAATGATGAAGATAAAATCTGAGTATGTATGGTGTGCTAGGCCCTGTCCTATCATAACAGTATTACATGACTGTTTTACACGTGTTGTATTATTTTATCCTCACAGTAATTTCTGCAGCAGGTGTTACTGTTTTACAGAGGTGTTATCTCTGAGGCAGGTGTTACTGCTTTACAGAGGAGTAAATGGTAGTTTGAAACCAAAAAAGATAAAACCTGTCCAAGTCAGTAGTCATTAAGGAGCAGACTTGAGATTCAGATCTAAGTTCGACTTTTCTGAGAATTACCATGCTACATCAGGAGAAATTAATTCCGAAATACAACCGAACAATCAAGACAAAAATGATGAACTGTGCAAACAAAGTTGGACTTATATATGCTTTCTTCCCCTAAAACCCAATGAAAAGGGCCTTTAAACAAATAGGTTTTTTTAAAACTATATATATATATTTTGTACATGCTTTTATCAGTATGTGCATGTCTTTTCTACGAAACATATTTCACGTAGGAGTTAGATTTTATTTTAGAAGTTTGGAAATTGAAGATTTTAAAGAAATACATGAATTCTGATGTGTCATGATTTACCACACACCTAGGAGGTCATTCAGTCATAAATCAGGAAATATGAAACATTGGAAGGACGTTGTTTCATTGGTTTGTGCATATAGCAGATGAGCTTTCCAGAACAAAGATTGTAGGATAGCACATTGAAATAAATGATATGATATATTGGGTGTCACACATGGTTTAGCAGGATGGCTAACTGTATTGCCAGCAGCAGCAGCAAGCTATCTAGTTTCATAGAAGTGACTTTCTAGCTTTTGATTATAATCTGGATAGAACAAAAGCAATAAGCAACTGGGGTGATTTCATGTGGACAATTGTAGGGGAGAAAGATTTATCCTTGAAGAGCTGGTGCTATTTGTTGTTTTTTGTGCTTTATTGATATAGAAAGTAGTCTGAAGAGCAGTTGAGTGTAAGGGATAAGTATAAATCTGGAGAGAATGTGAGGGTTAGTAAATATGGAAATGAGAATTATATATACTTTATAAAAATTAATTTAAAAATCATTATATATGTTGCATCATTGTTATCTGTCCATTTATAAACTGATAAAAGGTCAGGATGACATACTTGTTTTTTAGTATATGTAGCTCTGATATTACAGATAGGTTTGTTGTATTTTTAAACATTTAGATTCAGATAGAACAAACATGGCAAGTTGATGAATTTCTAGAAATTGTAATAAAATAGGAAAAGCTTTAAAAATGAACTTATTCCTGTCATGTTTTTATTAAGCCTCATTTAATTAATAAGTAAAGTTTGTTGGAAAACTTAAGCTCTATTATAGTAATAATTTTTATCAATAATAAGTAAAATTTGTTGGTATTTATTATATTCCAGAGGGTGTGCTAGGTATTCTACATGCATTTTCTCATTTAATTCTCATAATACTTTATGGAGGAGGTGGTATTACTAGCACAGATTTGTAGATGAGGAAAATTAATTTAGGGAAGCAAGAAACTTGCTTAGTTAGTAAGATGTAGAGGTCAGAATACATCCCAAATTGTATTATTCCAAACTGTTTTTTTTTTTTCCATTGTTCATAATTGCAACTGCATGAAACCAATAACTTCTAGAATAGCTTTTAGGGAAGGTGGTACTCTGTTGGCTAGATGGAGCCACAGTTTAGTCTTTCCTAATGCTACAGATACAAAAGTTAGTCTTGCTGTCATTTTTTGAAAATTATTTTGGAGATAGGTCAAAATATTTTGTGACTGTATTCATTGCTAATGAATACCCCTTTGGTTAACTTTTTTTTTTAATGCTTTAATTTTCTATTCTTATGGCATATCATACATTTAAAACTTTTATTTTGTAGTGTTTTGTCTCCTACATACGTTCAGTATATCTCATGAAGGATAAAGAAGTATTTGACGTGAACAAGTTGCCTTTACCTGAATATGCCCTGTAAGTATTCATTGTATAGTTATAATTGAAAATACTTAATGTCAGAAGGAATTTGTTTCAAACTGGGTTCTCCTAGAGTCCTAATTTAAAGTAGTCACCAACATTTACCTTAAAAGAATCTGTTAAAGATCTACAGAGAAAAAGATTCTATAACTTTGTAGAAAACTAATTGAGTATTTAGTTCTTGTTGTCAGAAAGAAGTTTTTTATTTATAAATATAAATTCCTTAAAGTTACTTAGGCATTTGCTTATAGTTTGATCTTAAAGGAGATGGAAAGCAACTGATGAATATTCTTAGAAATCTTTAAATGTCTGTCTGCTCTTTGTAGTTCTTTCTTGTTCTCTGAAACACTGGATTTCCCAGGACATTTTGTGGATGCATGTATCTTCACCAGTTCTTCTCATATTTTAGATTGGGACTCCCACACTGCTTCTTGCCTGAATATTCTGTCTTGTGGTTTCTTCCTCAGAGTTACTGTGGCAAGATGTTCTTGTTTAGTAATGGAGGTTACTGTTGTATAAAATGGAATTATTGGTCTTGTTTTGGTCTCACATCTAAGGAAGGTTTTTTTTAAAAAAAAAAAAAACAAAAAATAACTTTCAGATACGAAGGAGGAGTGTTCATTTTTCAGTGGGATTCAATCTGTGGGGGAAAGCATTGACAACATCCTATAGATGTGCCCTTAAGGTTAATCATACTTTGAATGTCAGCATGCAGTTTCTCAAGCTTTGAGGAAAGTCATGCTTACAGGTAAATTTCTGCATTCTAGGAATTTGAGTCTCTACCTTTAACTTTTCCTTAACAAAATCTTAAATCTGTATCAGCTGTTGTTTTCCATTTTCTAGGTTAGATTGTAAGTTTAATATAACACGTAATTTATCACTTATAAAATTTTAAAACCTTTTAAATAACACAGTAAGGCCACTGACTTTCCAATTAGGTAATAGATGGAAAATTATACACCATGGATAACACTTGATCATTTATATACCGTCTGTAGTTTCACCGTTTCTGAATATGATCAGTGGTTTAGATCATTACCTCATATTTTGTATTCCATGTGAAGTTTTCTGATGGAATTGGCTGGGATATAAGAAAGCATGGCAGGTGTTGGTCTTGTACATGTCAGGGCCATATTTAGGGATATTTTGTTGCAGCTATGAGTCAGAATTGACTCAATGTGAGTGGATTTGATTATTTTGATTTTGTTGCCGCATACTTCAGGAAGTTTCAGTACTTACAGTTGAAACCGTTGCTGGAGATACTTAGAGAAGAAAATTAAGTCCTAAGCCTAATTTGTTGATACAATTTAATGTTTTCAGTTATTTTTTATGGCTGTTTAGATGTGCAATTTCTTTGAGATGTATGATTTCCTTTAGAAGCCTTTGATTCCTAACATGGTGCTGTACAAGTAGGCTATAATAAAGGTTTTAAAAAGTATTCTACTAAAAACACATATTGAGTGCATATCCTGTACAGGGCATTATGCTAGATGTTAAAATTATAGATGTATATTATATACTTCTTATCTTAAAGGAGCTCAAAGTTTTACCAAAAAAAGAATTAAAAAATAAAGTTTTACTAAAATAGCTGAGAAAGGTATATAAATATAATTATAATACACTGAGATCAATGTGTTGGGTTCATGTTAGTGATCGTAATCATTAAGCACCGAAACAGTAATAATGATGACCTCCAGTGGTCAGTCAATAAAACAAAACCTGTTGGCATTGAATTGATTCTGACTCATAGTGACTGTAGGACAGAGTAGAACTGTTCCATAGTGTTTCTGAGGTTGTAATCTTTATGGAAGCAAATTGCCACATCTTTCTACTGTAGAGTAGCTGGTGGGTTTGAACTGCTGACTTTTTGGTTAGCAGCAAAACTCTTAACAAGTGCCTTCAGGGCTTCTTAAATGCCCAGTAGTTGTTATTTATGTGCGAGGCACTATTTTAAGTTCATTACTTTTTTTTTTTTTTTTAAATTGTGATTTGGGTGAATATTTACACAGCAAATTCACTTTCCATATAGCAGTTCACATACATTTTGCTCATGATATCGACTATAATTTACCACAGTGGAACAGCTCCCCTCCCACTTACCTCCCCATAGTTACCTCTTCCCTGTGTCCATCCCTCCATGTACTCTTGCCCCCTGAACTGTCTCCCTGTGCATAAACAGCCCTTCTTTCTCCCATGATTTTTCTCTCCAAGGAGTATATGTACCTCAGGTAAATGTTCACCTCATATGCCTTTCTTTTGTTTGGCTGGAAGCCATAGGTGTGGGTTCAATTCCAGACCTGAAGGGCAGCTAGGGGCTATAGTCTCAGGGGTTCTACCAAGCTCTATCAGACCAGGGAACCTGGTCCCCCTCTTTTTCCGAATGATTTTGAGTTTTGTTCCACATTGTTCTCCTACTCTATCCAGGATGTCCTACACAGATCCCCCTCCGAGTGGTTGACAGTGGTAGCCAAGCATCATCTAGCTCTTCTGGTCTCATAGTCATATAGGCCGAGGATTGCATGGTGTACCAGTCACTAGGACTAATTGTTTCCATGAATATTTGGTTTTCTTCATTTCTTCTTTGCTCTGGACGAGGAGAGACCCATCATTGCATCTAGATGGCCGCTTGCAAGCTTTTAAGATCTCAGTCGCTACTCGCCAAAGTAGGAGGTAGAACAATATTTTGTGTAGTATGTTATGCCAACTGAGCTTGATGTCCCTTGTGACTGTGGTCCCGAGCCCACAGGTTCAACTACTTGGTTGGGTAGCTGGCTGTGACCAAGCAGTGACTACAGCCTTGTTTCTTGTCAGGTCTGCTATACACCTGGGAATTCAGATCATACAAATACACTTATAGGACCATTGTCTGCCAACCCTATATATGGTCTTGGGTACACTCCCCGCTTCATAGACATACCTGATAGTTCAGCCTCTCTACCCATCTAGCCACCCATATACCCATATTTGCCTTCACTGACAATGCAGTACTGTATGTGCAAAAGAATTCATCTTTGTTGTCTCTATCGCCCATGTACCTCTCTGTCTTCCTCTTTCTCAATGCCACCATGTTGATCACTCAAATTTGGTACATTGTTGTTCTCTTCGCCCAAATTAATACTTACCTCTACCTATCTAACAGTGTTCCCTCTCCTTCCCTCCCACCCCTGGTAACTAACAAAGAAAATTTCCTTCCATAGATAAACCTTCCTTGACTTTTACAGTAATGGACTAATACAATATTTGCCCTTCAGTGATTGACTTATTTCACTCAGCATAATGTCCTCCAAGTTCATCCACATTTTGCGGTTGCTTGAACAATTTCTCTCAGAAAGATCAGTGCAAGGCCAGTCGCCATGAGGCGGAGATTAAAGATATCCCAAATGTCCAAACTACCGTGCCACTCCATCATTTCAGACATTAACTCCTCCTCCTCCTCTCAGTAATTTCCCCCATCTTAGGGTTCTGTATTTTGCTGTAACACCTCACAGAACTCATGGACACCCAAGAGATCGTCTCACGTAGTAGTGGTGGAGGCTGGCAGGGTAGCGATTCCCAGCACTGTGAGTGGGTCTGGAGGATCCTCCCAATTCTTGGGATTTGATGAACCTCTATCAGCAGATCAGATGATGGCTGCTGTCCCAAATCCAGGGGTGAGATGAGGATGAGCCAAAACACAAAACCAGAACAAGAGGAGAGCAAACCTTCCCAGGAAATTCGTAGGTATACCCTCAGGGAAGCTAAGGGTGGTGATTTGAATTGTACTCTCCAGCAAGGCAGGACTCAAGATACATTCCACCTGTGTTGCTCCAACAGCAATAACCTAAGTGGATGGCTTTAACAATCAGCAGCTCAAGGCAAATCACAGAGCCAATTGCCATTCATTATAGGGACCAATTATTGTCAGCTGCCCAGCCAAGTTGATACCTGACATTAACTACCACACCACCCC